TGAAACCCTGGAGGACCACTACTAATTAATTTAGATAATATTCAGCTAGATGGACCTATAGTGTAAGACAAGTTCCAGTATGATGTACCTTTTTTACACTACCAAGTATTTTTCAATAAAATCCTATGTAGTTGGAATTAGGAAGAAAAGTTTGGCTTCAAGGGCTTAGTCTATTGCACCTTATTTTAAAAATTAAATAGCCTATTGTGATTATCACAGTACTAATAATCAGCATATATTTTTAATAGTGCTGAGTCCACTTTAAAAATGTTTTTTTCTCCAAGGATTACTAACAGGGCAGCCTTGAAAATAGAGGCTGCTATAAAAGATCTGCAATTTTAAAAATAACTTCAGTAATGTTTTAATTCCAAGCAAAGTGTTATAATCAGAACAATTCTAAAACCAACTAGAAATATATTTCTGAAGTAATAACAAATATAGTTTTCTCTACAGCACAGGGAAAAAAATCAAGCCATTATCATTAGCTTCTTTTGAATATGGGCTGATAAATGGTAAGTATAAGAAGGAAAAAGGAAAAAAAAACCCCAAATATAAGTAGAGTTATAGAGAATCCACTTTATGTAAAGAATCTAGTAATAAGAGTTCTCACAGTCTATAGTTTATACAAATTAAGAATGGCAGATTTATCTAAGGCTACTGTTGAGAAAAGTTGCCTCTGAATAAGGCTTTGTCATACCTTTCAATAAATTGTATGGGATCTAGAAAAACTCTTCTTCCCTTTGTACCCCTCATATACATTTCTACTGCTTCTCTTTTCTATAAAAGAGGGCTGATGAAATACAGGTAAGAGAGTGAACAGAAACTCCATGCTTAAAATCTATGGCTCCCTTGGTGTTTTCACAATGGTGGTGACAGCAATGTATCATAGATTAGTGTGAAGGGCTCCTCTGGAGAATCGGGTTCTTTTGGTACTCTGCACCTCAAATCCAGAAACCAAGGGTCAGTATATGAGTTGCCTCCAATCTTTGCTCGATGATTTAAGGGCTTTTTTCTCCAGCTTCCTGACATGTCTTGTTTTCTTGAACTATGGCAGGACTTAATATGTTTTTGGTTAACATTAGCACCTCTTTGCTGGAAGCATGTAAAAGCTTACAACAATTATATTTTGTTCTCATGCCAACCTATACTATTTCACCATCTAAACATATATTAATATACATTATTTTGATTTGGATGCATTTTCCTCAATCATTTATACATTTGAGAATTTGGGATCCATAAATGCTTCCCTTAATACTGTCTAATTGTTAGGAAAATTATTTAGTTCTGTGCTCATTTCCCTAGTATATTTGATGTAGTCTCAATATATTTGTGCCAGCTTTACAGTTTAATACTAAGTATCTAATAAACTCTACAAAAACTCACCGATTTTTTTCTATAGTGCAGAAAGTGATAATACACATTAATTTATTGTACATGAAACACTGGTAAAGTGAGTTGACAAATTCAACAACTATTTTTTTTAAGGGAAGTGACTGACATGATCCAAACTGGAATTAATACTGCTGTATACTGAATTTGGTTTGGCTTGCATGGGGAACCAAGCTCAAGCTCTTATAATTTTTACTCTGAAAAACGTTACTGTATTATTGTAATTATTCTAATCAGGAATTATTCTATTTTGAAATACCTTTCTACAGTTTATCTGAAGAACACTGTTTTAGGGAGAATTAAAACACAGCTTCTTAAGCACAATTTGCTTAAATTTCTCAAAACTCTTGGACATTTTAAACTTCTTTTGCTAGCAATGCTGTTTCTATTGTAATTGTTCCTATTACACTGATGTTCTAAAGGCATCCCTTTATCATTCACAAAATCCCTTTGTTTATGCTAGACGCAAATGTGTAGATAGAGATAATCTGGATAGATCATTGTAATCCTGCCTGCCATAACCTCATCATCAAATATCAGAGGCCATTGTTAGCATTATTACACTTGAAGCCAAACACATATATTAGCACTGTATTTGACAGAAGTGATGTGTTGCTAGGTTACTTTCATAAGATATTGTGTTCAAAAACATGGAAAAAGTGAGTTTTTGCTCTTATGGGATGTTTTAACCAACCAGAACAATAACTCCATACATTTTATTTCCAGTTCTGCAGATTCCCAGCTATACATCACGACTGCAGCTTGTTGTTGAAACTTTTTATTTGTGAAAAGTTATCTTGTTTAATTTTGACAATAGTTTATAGAAATTATTTTCTGCCAGATCTTGAAAATTCTTCTTTGCTTTTGATGCTGTACATCAGTCCTTCTGCCTGAAGAGCAGAAATAATAACACCTACCTCATAAGAAAGGGATTAAAATAATTCAGCTAGCTATATTTTATAGATATTCCTCTCAGTAAAGGGCTCAAGCAGTACTTGGTTAGTAATGCATACAGTATCTTTTCCTATTGAAAAAAATGTCTTCCATTAATTGAAGTGGAATGAATGGGATGGTTTGGCTTTTTTAGAAAAAAGGATGCTACAACTGGTATCTAGTTTTTATCCAGGGCTTAATTTTTAAAGGAGCAGCCAGATATTTTCTACTGGGGGGGGGGGGGAGATTGCCACTAAGAGGCAGTATTGTGCAAAGGATATAGACCATGCTGAATTATTCCAAGCGGTATCAAGTCTATTAATAAAAATAATAGCTGGAGAATATAGTTCGACCTAATTCTCCAGATTTAACATGAAAACTATTCTAAGGTAGCTTTAGAGCATCATGCATAGCTTTCAAAGACTAGGTACAATGCCAAAAATGATTTGTTCTGTATGTTCAAAATCTAAGTATATTAAGTAAAAATATTTTACTTAAATATTTAAGCACAGAGATTATAAAACTAAACAAGGATGAATCCTTGTAATTAATGCTTATTCATGTATCTTAATATGCTTTGTTAAATATTAACATTTGTAGAAATTTTAAGAGATAGAAAAATTGTGAAACTTGATTGTTACAGCTGGTCAAAAACTACTTACTGGCTTTGCTTTAGCTCTTACTTTGTATTTTTCCTTTTTGCAATTAAAATATTTATAAAACTAATGGATGTTATTTATTCTCCATTTCACAATAGGAATTATGGAGACAGAAATAACTAG